TCGGTCGCTGCTGCTCAACTACGAGGGCAGCCGTGCCGCGCCGAACGCCCAGAGGTCTGGCGGCGGGGGGCCCCCGTGCAGGCTCTCGCCCGTGCCGAGGGCCGCGGCAGAGGGGCGCGTAGAGGCAAAAATTGTGCCGGCCACTCCTTTGTGCTGTCCGCCCTGGACGTAGCGGTGTCCGAGCGTGTCTTAGCTGCGCGCGCCGGGCGCGCTGACTTGCGCTCGGCGCTGCAGGGCACCTCGGGCGCCCCCGCTGGCCGCCCGCCCGCGCCAGGCCCCTCCTCGCTCGCGCGCGTTCGGTCTGTCGCGTCCACCGACGCCGAGTTGGCCGCGGTAGAGCAGTCTGGCCGTCTGGAGCTACAGGCGCTCCGCGATGTGCGGGCGGGCCTCTCAGCTCGGGTGCCGCGTGCTGAGGTTCGCGACGCGTCCGGGCGCGCGGCGGCGAGGCGTGTGCTGGCCCAGGGCATCGCGAGCCGTCGGTGCGCGTCGGCTCCAGGGGGCGGCCAGTCGGGGAGCGCGCGGGGAGCGGCGGACGGCCCCCGTCCAGATCGCTCGCGACGCTCGCCGAGTGCTGGGGGCAGTGTTGCGCAGTGCGGAGGTGGCGCATCCCGCTGGTCTGGTGCGTTGGGCTCGTGCGGCTGGGGGGGCGCCCCCACTTCGGCGGCGGGGCGTTCGCTCGCAGAGCTGGGGGCCGAGCGCCAGGCCAATCCGCGTGCCAACGCGCGCCCGCCCGACGATCCTGCCAGCGCGATGTCGCGCAGCGATCGACGGGCCGTCCGCCGACGGCCGGGGCCCCGCGACGAGACCGCTGAGGACCTGCCGAACCTGGGAGGCCATGCCCCGAGTTCGGCTAATCGTAGCGGGGCTCGCCGAAAGCGAAGCGCGGCCTCCAAGCGCCAGGTGAGTCGTGCGGCCCTCTCCGCCCCCAAAGGGGGGGCCGCCCCTGCCCGCCGCTGAGAGGGGGGGGGGGCGCGGCTCCGCCTGGCCGCCGTGCTCGGCGGACCGCTAACCGTCGCGCGTGCGGCCCCGCTTCTGGCGTCGAGCCGCGCGTGACGGGCGCCGCGGTGAAGTGCGCCGTCCGGCGCTCCCGCGGCCGCCCCGCCGCGTCGGCGCCGAGTGGGGGCGGGGGCCCGAGCCCCGCCAAGAGGCCTCCGAACCCTTGCGGCCGCGACTCTAGCGGAGAGTCGGCGGAGGACGCCGGCGCCGACCCCGACGGCGCCTCGGGGGGTTCGCCCAGCAGGCGTTCCGCGTCGGAGGCTCGCCCAGCTGCAGGCCCGCCAGCGTTTCCCCGCAGCTGTCCGCGGCCTGCCGCGCCAGCTGCCGCGTTGCGGCGTCCGACGACCCCCCGCGGCGAAGGCGTGCCGTGTCTACTCCGCCCTTGGCCTCCCGCGCTGGGAGTTCCGCGGGCCCCTGCTACGACTTCGACTCCGAGGGCTCCGTTCAGGTCCGCGACTACCTGGCGGGTCAAATCCGGGATGAGGCCTTGCGCAGGATCGTCCGAGCCGCTCAGCGGCCAGCGGTCACCGAGCAGGACGTGGCCGCGGCGGCTGCTTCACGCGGGCAGCCTCCTCGGCCTTCGGGTGCCAGTCGGGGCCGGGGAGGTGCGGCCATTGGCGCTCAGCAGGATCGCGCAGCAGGATCCCCGCGCAGCCGATCGCTGTGCCGACAGGCCTGCGCCCGTCCAGCGAGGGCTTTACGCCGCCGCGGGGGGGTCGCGCCGTCGCTGCTCAGCCAATCGGCGTGCCACCTGCTGGCCGCTCGGAGCCTCCGTCAAAGCGTCGCAGCGTGCTGTCCCCCTGCCGACGTCGAAGGCTCCGTCGGCAGCCTCTTCTGCTGGTGCTCCCGCCCCGCCTCGCATGCCGATGCCTTCGCCTCCTGGCCGCGACGAATCGCAGGAGCCGACCGCCCTTCTGGCCGCCGCGGCTTCGGCGCTTGGCTGGCGGCTGGAAGTGGCGGGCGAGCCTGCGATCGTCGTGCGGTATTCCGATGATCGGGGAGATCTGTTTCAGCATGGGGTTTCCTGGCCGCGGCATTTCGCGCCTGCTGTCGCGGATGAGCCGCGCGAGATCGACGATCTCGATTGCCTGCTCGCTGTGCTGCGCAGTCATGAGCGTCTCTTCGGCGACGGAGGTGTGCGCCCTCTCTTGGAGACAGGGTGGTTGCTGCCCTTGAGTGCCGCTGCCCCCCCGGGGCTGACTTGGGTGCCTTCAGATCAACGAGAAGGCGGTCGGCGGGGTCGGGGGCGTCGGCGTAGGTAGAAATGTCGCCCAGCGGCGTCGCGCGGCCAGTCTGGCTTGCGCGCGCGACTTGTCGGCGCCGCTCTCCGAGAAGGCCGAGCTGCTCCCGCCGCTCCTGTGGCGCAACAGCGAGGCGCCTGCGGATCTGCTCGACGGCTGCCGAGCCATATTCAGCGTGCCCAATCCCGACCCGACCGTTCTGTCGGGCATGTCGCAGCGGCAGAGCGCTGCCGAGATGGAGGCGAAGCTGCGCGGCCGCGATCGCGCGGCGTACCCTGCTTGCCCGCCTGGCCCCCTGGCCAGACGTCGAGAGGGGGGCGCTCTGCGTGCTCGGAGGTCGAGACAATCGCGAGGGGCATCTCGACGCGACTGACGACTCCTTCGCAGAGGCGCGCGCTGATTTCGCGTCTCAGTCAGGGGTCGACGAGGGGGGGCTGCCGCCGTTCTTTGCGTCGCGCGAGCGGCGGGCGGCCCTCTCGACGTGCCGCGTGGCCCTGCGGAGCAGCAGAGACCCCGCGCCCGCCCTGCTGCTCAGGTGCGCGCGCGGGCTGTGCGTGCACGTGGCCGCTGGGGTTCCTCCTGCCTCGGCGGCCGCCGCCGCGCCCACTGGCCGCGGGCATAGCGCCGTGCGGCCCCGCGCCTCTCGCACGCCTGTCGTTCGGGATTCCCTTTTGACTCCCGAGTACTTCGATAGCAGATCGCGATCGATCGATGCATTCGAGCTGTGGGTCGTCGAGCACGCCAGAGTGGCTCCGACCGCGCTCTACCGAAGTGGCGTGCTTCTGGCGCGAGCGCTAGCCACCTTCGGAATATGGCTGCACGACGCTGGTTTCCCCGTTGCATCCTTGTGCATGCCCTGCTGGACGTCCAGTCAGCGCATCCCCGCTGGAAGGCGTTCCTGACAGAAACCTGGGACGTCGCCAAACGGCGGAAGATGGCAGAGCCTCCCAAGCTCCGTCCACCGTGGCCTCGCGAAATCTTGCGCGCGATGGTTGGCCTCTGCCTCGTCTGGGACTGGCCAGATGTGGCCGCCTTGCTGCTGCTCGGTTTCACTATGTTCCTGCAACCAGGGGAGCTCGCGAAGGCAAGAAGGTGCAACCTTTCCTTGCCGCCAGACCGTCTCGAGCCGACAGGCGACGCCTCTCTGGCCATCGCGGCGCCGAAGACCCGACGCCCCTGCCCCGCTCAGCGCGCGAGGTGTTCGGATCGTCGGTCGGTGGACCTGTTTGAACGTGTTTTTTGGACATCTCGCTTCCACCGATCCGCTCGCCCTCTTCGGGGCTGGCGGCTTCCGTGCTCGGTGGAAACATTTGCTTTCGGTGTTGGGCATTCCGCTCGCTAAAGCCGCCGCTGGGCTGAATTTTTCCTCTGTTTGTCTTTGGGGTTCAGGCGCTACTGACTTCTACTTAGCTACATAAGACGTTCCTCGCGTCTTCTGGCGAGGCAGGTGGCGCCAAGCATCGAGTGCTGAGCGCTGCCTCCAAGCTGCTGCTGCCTCGACTGTCCTTGCGTTTCTCTCGGAGGCCGCCAGAGCTTAGGTACTCAGAGCAGTGGCTGGCTTGCCTCTTCTCTGCTTGCTGGGTCGTCAGCCTGGTCTGTCCAATTCGCGGCCGCCAGCCAAAACCTCGTCACTTCGCGAGGGTTTTGGGCCTGGGTATGGCCAGGAGCTCCGCTCCTGAGCGCGGCGCGTCGGCCCCCTCGCGCCCGGCGCCGGGTCCGCCCCGCTGTCGCGCGCGGAGGTGCCGGCGCGCGCGCGCGGAGACCGCGCGCCAGGGCGGAGCGAGAGAATGCTCCCTCTTATTCTCTGCGACTCCCCCCCGCGGTCTCTTCGTTGATTTCGGCCTCCCTCCCCACCTTCCCGGCCTCGCTGAGGCTGATGGCGTGCGCGCTGCGCGGCCGCCTGTGCGCACTGTGGGGGCTGGGCTGTCTTGCCTCCCAGTGCTCCCTGGCTGCGCCGCTTCTCGGCGGCCGCGAGCCCCGCTCCTGAGCGCGGCGCGTCGGCCCCCTCGCGCCCAGCGGCGGGTCTGCTCCGCCGTCGCGCGCGGAGGCGCCGGCACGCGCGCGCGGAGACCGTTCGCCAGGGCGGAGCGAGAGAATCCTCCTCCTCTTCTTCCTCCTCCTTCTCCTCCTCTTCCTCGTCTTCGTCGTCATCATCATCGTCATTATCTCCATCATCATCATCATCATCATCATCATCATCATCGTCATCATCATCATCATCATCATCATCATCACCATCATCATCACCACTACAGTCATCACCATCATCACCATCACCACCACCACCATCACCATCATCATCATCATCATCATCATCATCATCATCATCATCATCATCATCATCAGCATCAGCATCAGCATCAGCATCAGCATCATCATCACCATCATCATCCTCCCCCCCCTTCTCACCCCCTTCTCCTGCTCGTGCTCCTCCTTTTCCTTGTTTCCTCCCACCATTCTTTGGGTATTCAACTTACCGCTTCTTCTCATCCTCCTCTTCGTCCTAGTGCTATCTGCGACTCTCTGCCTCCCCGCCCTCGTTCGTGCCCTTGCCTCCCACCCCGCCTCCTCCTCGTCCTCGTCCTCGTCTTCCTCGTTGTCGTCCTTTCGTCCTCGTCGTCCTTTCGTCCTCGTCGTCGTCGTCGTCGTCGTCGTCGTTGTCGTCCTCGTCCTCGTCCTCGTCCTCTTCCTCCTCCTCGTCCTCCTCGCCCTTGTCGTCGTCGTCGTCGGCGCCCTCCCCCCCCCCGGGCCCCTGGCCGCGAGGAGCCGCCGGTCGGCTCCGGGGACGCCAGAATAGCCGAGGACGGAGGCGCGCGCTCGGCCGCCGCCCGCCGCGGCGCCGCCGCTCGCGGGGCGGTCGCGGGCAGCGCAGGGGCGTCGCGGGCAGCGGAGGTGGAGGGGGAGGAGGAGGGGGAGGTGGAAGGAGGAGGAGGAGGAGGAGGAGGAGGAGGAGGAGGAGGAGGAGGAGGAGGAGGAGGAGGAGGAGGGGCGTCGCGGACAGCGGAGGAGGATGTGTAAAACGACACGAAGAGCGGGACCAAATCGGATCGGGATAGCTCGAGATCTCTGAGGATCGGCGGGTTTGGAGGATGTATTGGGCGCCGCGGCCGCTCCAGAGCGTTCCGGAACGCTCTGAGAGTGCTCCGGAACGCTCTGGAGCGATTTATCCCAATCCTAGCCCTGTTTTAATGTGGACAGCGGAGGGTCGTGCAGTCGAAATCGATGATCTGGATGGGTCGCCTTCCCAAGGGCGCCCCTGCACCCTTGCCTCTTCGGCCCATCCTGGGCCGCTTTCGATTGCCCGCCCCGCTCGAAGAGCCTCGAGATGCGGAGCGTTCCAAAGGGGCCTTGCCTTCGAGGATCGACGGGGTTGCCTTCTCTTCCTCGGCCGAAGGCGGGGGAAGGGCGGCGGAGGGCGGCGGAAGGAGAGCGAGGGCCGCCTCCGCCGGCGGAGGCCGGCGGGGGGCTGGCGGTAAGCCTCGGCAGCTCAAGCAGTTCGTGGACCTCCAGAGGAGCGGGGGTCGCAAGTCCCCCCTGTCAGCCCAACCATCGCGCGCCGCCATGCCTGCCTCTTCCTTCTGGCGGATGCTTGGCGTTGCCTAGGCGGCGCGCTACCGACTGGCTTCCTCGACAGTGAGGCGAGCGCTGGAGGACGGCCCAATCCTCCTGGACCACACCGAGAACGTCCTAAGGAATTCTCGCAGTGGGAGCACGGGCGTATGGGTGGCAAGCGAGCCTACAGGCATGCGATCAGGCAGGTAGAAGTTCTTGGATAGTGTTGGTACAAAGGACGCCATTATACACGCTCCACGATTGCTGCTTTGACCTCGTTGTCGCCGTCGCAGCCTGACCCCATGACCACCAGGTCTCAGATGCACCAGACACCGACCCCATCGAGAACTACACCACGATGCCGAGCTAAGAAGAAACAGTTGCTTACGGGTCACTGCGGTCTAGGCTCTTCCGTGGCTGGGCGGCCTCTCAGTGCCTAGAGGGGCGCTGGGGGCTGCCCTCGCAGTGCCATCCCTGCAGAGGCAGGGGTGCGCGAGGGCGGGATCTGGAGTGAAGGGTTGCGCCGTGAATCGGTAGGATTTTTGATGAGCCCTCCGCTAAACTTCCAGAGCTTGTTGCATCAGGGAAGAAGCGCTGTTACGGTTTCTGACGGTCCCGGGGCCCGGCGAGGGCCCCCGAGGGCCGAAGATAGTGAGAAACTTGCCGTCCTGATTTTTTAGCGATGTGATCATGTCTGGGGCATCTCACTGCTAAAGTCACTGCTGGGTGCTCTTCTTGCGCACTGCGGGTCCTTCAGAGTGCCAGTCAGCATTGGGTGGTCCCGAGTATCATCGCCACGTGTATAGAAAGGGTTGGGTACGTCACAGGGTAATTTCGCGACGTGATCATGCCTGGGGCATCCCCACCGCGCAGCCTTGCCAGCAGCTTTGGCTACAGACAAAACGACGCGAAGATC